ATATACAAATATAGTCACATCAATTCTATAACCAAATCAAACTCACTGCCATCAAGTTGATTCTGATTCAGAGTGATCCCCATTGGGTTTCTGAAGCTGTAAATCTTTATAGAAGTAGATCGCCTCATCTTCCTTCCATGGAGTGGAACCGCTGACCTTCTGGTTAGCAGCCAAATGCCTTATCCATTACTCCACCAAGCGCCTTTCAATTCTAAAAAGCAGGGAAATATCATTCCCATTTGACAGGTGAGAACACTGAGACACAAAAGTTGACTTGATCAAACCTGGACAGGCTTTCAGTAGTAAAGCTGGGATCCTAGCCAGCTATATAATATGTGAGGTCCAGTCAAAATGAAAGTGCAGAGTTCTTTGTTCAAAAGCAGTAAAAAAGTGTTATTAAAGGTACTGAAATATAAAACTTTACCCTGCAAAAATATTTTATTACTTATAAAATATAATAGGAGTAATAGTGACACATGAGTAAATAAACTTACAAATTACAAAAAAAAATTATCATTATTTCATATAAGAAATACATACGGATATTTTATTAATGTGATATCTTGATCATAAGATTTTTTTCTGACAGATTCATTTGTTTTTCTGCAAATTCATTTGTTAAATCATCAAAATTTATACTTTTAGCAACTTCCTTTTTAATTGATATAATTGAAAGCAGTGTCAGTTGCTCTTGGCAAATGCAAGATCACAAATCTTTTAATGATTTTTCATTTTGAAAAGGATCTTTCTGCTGATGCAACTCTTACTGGAGCTGTTAGTACTTTATAGATTGTGGCAACATTGAGATTAAATTTTGATAAATTATTTTGAAGAATAAATTTTAATATATCTAGTACTGATGATCGGAAGGAAGATGGGGCAATCTACTTCCGCAGTGATACTGCCTCGGAAACCCAAGGAGGGTCGCTATGAGTCAGGTCTGACTTGACGGCACATAACAACAACAAGTACTGATGATAATCACAAAACAATTTTTCTAAAAAGGTTTAACCCTTCATACAAATCAATTTTGTGTAGGTCTGACTTTAATTTTATATGTAAATAATTTATACCATGGCATTTTGATGTTTCCTTTGACATTTCCTATAAATTGTCAAGATGGTAAAAGAAACTGAAAACAGCTTCATGATTTGTATATAATTCAAAATGCTTGTTTATGCATCTATTGCTGTTATCTTCAACTACAAGGAAAAATCAATTTAAAAATTGTCTTCCTTGTTTTGTTTTGTTTTTTCTTTTTCCATTCCACAGTTCATACACATTTTGTTTTGTGACATTGGTTGTAATCCCCCACAGTGTAATAGCTGTCTTCCCACTTCCTCCCTGTAGTTATCTCTTCCCTGTGTCCTTCTTTCCTATGCATTCCTGCCCTCTGAGCTATCTCCCTGTGCAAACACTGCCCTTCTCATCTCCCATGGTTGATTGTTCTGAGAAGTGCACCTACCTGGTGTAATTGTTCACCTCATAGGCCTGTCTATTGTCTTGCTGGAAGTTAAGCCACAGGAGTGAGTTCAATTCTGGTCCCAAAGGGTGTCTTTCTTGTTAATAATTGGTTCATCCTGAGGTGTGTGTGTGTGTGTGTGTGTGTGTATGGAACTATGGGGACACAGTGGTTAAAGCATTTGGCTGCTAACCAAAACTTCAGTTGTTTGAATCCACCAGCTGCTCCATGGGAAAAAGATGAGCTAGTCTGCTTCTGTAAAGATTTACAGCCTTGGAAACTCTATGGGGCAGTTCTACTATGTCCTATCGGGTCGCTATGACTTGGAATTGACTTAATGGCAATGGGTTTGGTTTTTGTTTTCACTTTTCAGGTTCACATAAAAATACTGTTTTCTGTCAAATGTGATATCTTTGATTTCTATTTCTAAGTCTGTGGGTATTTGTTTTGCATTTTTGAAGCAGCTTTCAAAACTGGAGATTATAAGCTCTTCAAAGAATTTTAGTAACTCCTTGATATACTTCACTGCAATGTCCATGTGTATGCTTTTATTTGGTAATCGTCTGCTGACAAAGTTTACTGCTTAAGGACCAGCAGTTCAGTCTTAGTGATCAGGCTGGAGAGTTAATACTTGTGTAGACACTGCAGGGTAAGGCTCCTGACACTGACTCGCAAGCCACTCTCCCACCAGGGGGCTCAGATTGTATCCCTGTGGAGCTCTTTCTCTCTTCTGCAGCTGTGACCGCTGCTTCTGCTACAGATCTGGGCCCAGGTCCCAGCCTCACTACCTGGACTACCCTGGGGCACATACAAGCCTGCTGGGCAAATTGCTTGGCACCTGTGCTGCCTACTGTACCCTCAGGCTTGAGCAGATCTTCAGTGTGTCTGTACATACAAGCTCTGTTGTCCCATCGGACTTCACTTACAAAACAAGTTCAAAGTTAAAATTATAACGGTTTTTGAAATGGCAGCAGGAGGGAATTACACTCAGCTCAAGGATCCTCTCAGTGCGTGGCACCATGAAGCGGCCTTGGCTCGGGGTAAAACTCACCACACTGTTACCACCGGTTGCATTGCATCAGTTCTGACTCATGGTGACCCCACCCACGCTGAGTAGAACTACACTCCATAGCGTTTTCAAGGCCCTGACCTTTCACAGTGGATCACCAGGTCTTTCTTCCAGGGAATCTCTGGGTGGGTTTGAACTGCCAACCTCTCAGTTAGTAGCCGAGTGCTTTGCTGCTCCCAATTCACAGCCTACACACTTTCTACACTGACGTGGCAGAGCTACTTAGTTTGGGTTTCAGTGGCCCATTGCACATTAAGATGCCAGATGGTGACTTTCCAACATCAGAAGTTACTGAAGCAAGCTGAGGTAGAATATATAACATTTTTTCTTATCTTTACGTTGGAGGACTACAATGATTT